ATATATATAATAATATATATATATATATATATATATATATATATATATATATATATATATAGTAGATGTCGAACCCTTCAGCTACTTCAAATGTCCATTTTTACAAATTTTGAACTCCCTTATTAAAAATTGTGACTCAGCAATAAATGATGAATTAATACTTACCCTCCTATCTTTAATAAATACAGTTCAATCAGCAAATTTTCGATTTACAAAATCATCTTTACACGTGGTTAATTATGATTCAATCACACGTCATTAATTAAATTATTTTTAAAATAGAAAAAGGCTCAAATACGCTATTAAATTTTGAAAAAAAAACTTATTTACGTAATCCATTATAAATTTAACTAATTTTCGTTATTTCAATTAATAAATAAATAACATAAATAAACTTTTTCTAATTTTCTCAAATAAAATAACATAAATAAATTAAACTTTTAGCAAATATTCTCACCGTCACCAAAGAAAAATGCCAAGTTCATTGGATTCTAACTTTGAGGACAGGATACATTAATTAACAAGTTGATTACAAGTTTTAATTACTTCAGAACAATCATTATACACTGTCCACACCTAAATTTTCTTCTATCAAGAAAAAGTCAAAGTACAATTATATGAAATAATTAAAGAACAAAACTTTAAATTATAAATTGCCACATGATGCTAAATACAGACATGGTCAAAGTTCATAATAAGTGAAAGTACAAATGCAGGGAATGCATTAAACTTAAAAGTCCTTATTTTTTTATTTTTAAAAAAATTACACCATTAATGAACATGCCTATATTCTTGCAGAATTTCTCTATTTTCACACATAGAAAAAAGAATATTATGAAGGAAAAAAAAAAGATTCTAATTTCAATTATTCATGTGATTAATTTTCTTTTGTTTTGTTTATTAATTTTATTTTTTCTAATGAAGGGAATGAATCCCACGTCGATTGAAGGCTGAAAATTTCGATTATTTATAAAGTTTGGACATTTTTTTTACGTGAGCTAATTTTGAGTCGTAAACTAAACTCAAAGACCTAATTAGATATGATATTATAAAGTCTGATCAGCCCCGAGGTCCTACAATTGCGGTGAACTAGTAAGAAATAGACCAAATATTTTTGTATATCCAATTAACTAACATCATATAAAATAAAATAATTTTTTTCGCACAAACAAAATTATTATTAGTTTATATAAGAAAATCATACATAAGTAGTTAAAAAGTATCCTTCTTAACATGGCGCCCGTTCTTCGTTATTTTTTTTTGACATAAATACGAAATATTTTGTGCATAACTTATTAAGGAAAAATCTTACTTGCACTCGTGTTTATACCAATTTAGTTATCACTTAATTAGGGTTAACAGGTACCTATAATTTAGTTAGTTTTTTGAGTGGGGGTGGGTGGGTGGTTGCTTTTGGCATAAGAATCCAAAGTTTTAATTAAGGATCATGTTTGCTAATTAGTGGACATAAGACATAAATCGAATAATTAAAAATAAAATTCATAAGAATCTTATCGAGCAATCAAGAAAATATTTCTTGTGCTTTGCTACTTATTTTAATTTTTTTTTATATATATATATATATATATATGTTTGTAAACGAATTTTTAAGGCTTAAAAAAATAAGTTATCTTGGAGCCTTGTGCCCTACACAAAGCAAACAAAAGTTAACTGAAAATAACTAAAATGAAATCGATTACTTATTTAGATTATAGTCGAGTGATAAGTACTCTTTCATTTTTAAATAGAAATTACGATCGAGTCAAAGATTTTGTTGAAGTGATAAATATTTTTTCATCCTTAACCAGAAGTTTCAGACTCGAGTCACCTTTCTAGAAAACGCTCCCTTAATATAGAATTTCTCTATTCGTATTTGAACTTAATCAAACTCTAATATAAATAGCAGACATTATATAAAATAAAAGATTGATTACTTATTAATCAATAAAAATATCTCATTTCTTATTTTTCACTCACTGTCCACTTACATTTAATTAATTAATTGACACATGCTAATGGTGAGAATTACGAGGTAATAGTTACAATTGTTCACACTTCAGCAAACAATTAGACAGTAATTTAAGTAAAGTAATCTTCTTTTTAACTGATCTTTTTTTCCCTTAAATTATTATAAATTATTTTAGCCAAATATATTCTTTTTAGAATATCTCTTGTTCTTTGGATGCTTTTAAGAAAAGATATGAAATGAGTCACTTGAATTAAGTTAGCCTGCACCTATTTCCAATTTTAATTAGTACTTTGAATACATTTCAACATATTTTATTCATAAGATATATAGTAAAATAAAATAAAAAGTAATTATTATAATAGGTAAAATTATATTGATTTCATAATATCTTATTTGTTCTTATTTTCCACTCGATATTCATACCTACATTGAAAAGGATTATTTTGAATTCACGCTGCATAAAATTTCAATATAAATTCAAAAGAATCGCTTTTTAAGAATATTTTCATACACAAAACTCGATAATGATACTATAATATGGAGAAAACTCGATAATGATACTATAATATGGATGTCAGCACCGTGCACATAGAATGTAATTTTTATTTTCATTATTGACAAGAGCAAAAGCACCTTTTTAATTAAACCTTCATTTACTGTAATTATGACTCAGAGTTGCAGTAATATATTTTATTTTGTTTATAGACCAAAAATAATAATCAAAAGAATTTGGAATCCAATGTAGCATTAACTGTATCCTTTGGAGAACCAGAAATTGAACAAAAAGATTATTTGAGAAAAAGGTGCAAGCAAAACAAAAAGCTATTTAAAAGGTCTTTTTTTTTTAAAAAAAAATAATTAGTTTACTTTCTTTTATTCTAAAATAAGTGTGTTTTTAAGTATTAAAAAAGATTATCTAAAAATAAATGTCATTAATTAAAAAAAAATAGTATTTTCCTTTACTATACATTTATATTAACCAAATATTTCTTCATAGTAGTGCTTATTCTCGATAAACATATACACTATATATTCTATTTACTACTTTTCTTTACTTTTTATTAATGGCAGTAAAATGAGTCAAAATGATACTTATTTTGAAACGTATGACACAATAAATACATCGTATTATCAAGTAATTTTGTTATAGAAATAGAAAACCAATTCACTGTGGGCACTCCAATAATGATGTCTCCAAATACACATTTTAATTTTGAGAAATAAAACTAACTAATGTATTTGGAAATTGTGGTGTTTCAACAATAAATAAATAGAATAAATATTCATTTGATGACACCCCCTTTAGAGAAAATTGGGTAACTTTGTAAGGTTGGATGAAGACAATAGTAACATTAAAGCAGTAATTACAATAGTAAAATGAAGACAGTATCAAACAAATGTCATTTAAATATATGGAAACTTGCTATCTAATTCTTTGAAATATTTAAAGAGGCATTTCAACTGTCCTCACAACTCTGGTACAACAAATGTATTTGGAGCTATGGAAACTTGATTCAAGCCTGAGAAAATGGTAAACAAGGAACCTGTTAGTTATTATGAAAATAAACCAAAACGTAAGTCAAAGGAGTGTTTAATATACAAGTCTAAAGAGGATAGGATGTATAGAATGTATGCAAATCTTACCTTTACCCCTTTGTGGGGTAGAGAAGTTGTTTCTTATAGACCCTCGGTCCGACAGAAAAAGAAAAGAATTTGAAGCATGATAACAGAAAAAGAAAAGAATTTGAAGCATGGTAACAAGAAAATATGACAGCAAAATAGCAAGATACAGAACAAATAAAGTAACAGATAGAACTCGGCTAAGATGCATTAAGAAATTTCTATCTTCCAATTTTTTTTTCTTTTTGACAAGGGAAACCCGCAGCTGCTATCCTTTCGGTGCGCATAAGGTAAAACCACCACTCCTAGGAATAGCTCGCAAACCACACAGGAGAGGTAACCCGGACTAGGCAAATTCGATGCGACAAGGTCAACCCAGAAGGCAAACCCTTTGCTTTCGCTGGAAAGGGGTTTTGAACTTGAAACCTCAAAAATGGAAGTTCCAAGCCAAACCACTGGGTCACCCCGAAGGATTATCTTACACTTCTATGTAGAACTGAACTCCAGAAAAGACCCACAAAGTAACAGAAAAGAGTACCACAAACATGCAAACCTACTTTAAGCCAGCCTGTAGATCATCTGGTGTACTTCAACAATGAAAATAGGCATTTCACACATGAGAGAAAAATGACTAGAAACAAACATGCATTCAAATACAGATAATTCTATTATATACCTCTGTAAAGAGTAAAGACCTAAGAGCAGCATTATGAGCACCAGCACAGAAAGAGGTAGACCTTTTATTAAAGGCACAAGGATACAACAGCATGAGGCCAAAATATACTTCAACATATTTTAAACTAGGTAGTATGTACTATATATGTATGAGGGGAACAGTGGATATTCTGGTTTTTCCCACTCCACGCCCAAACAATTTTGTCTATGTGCTTATGTTTTAGTATCTGACACAATTGAACTAGACTATTCTCAATTTTTTACAACATGAATACTTTAACCTATTGTTTTGACTTTTTTAGCCTCAAACTTGAGGGACATTTCAGTATGTCAAGGGCCCAAAAGACCAAAAGTGTGCTTGAAATTGAGTATGCATAACGACAATCAGGAAGTAAAGCATAGCACTAAAAGTAACAACCTGTTGTTTCTTCTTCTTTGGTCTCCTCTTTCTTCGGGGTTTTCGAGCATCAGAGTTGGAGCTGATATTCCCACTGTTGCCTGTGAGTGAATCTGCAGGTCTTCCTTTTCTGAATGTAGATCTATTAAAGCTATCTGATGTGTTGCTGGAGGTTGACATATCACGGAAAGACGATTTCTTACTTGTAGATCCTCCAAACCTTGATTTTTTATTTGCTGAATGACTAAAAGACTTGCTCGAAGGACGAGGTGGCGGCATTAGAGCACGGGCAGATATTTGCTTCTGCACACATAATTTCAAATAGTAAGAGTACGTAAACATTAAATTTCAAAGTCAATTTCGGCAGCACAATTAGAAAATTCCAATTGAAACAAACCTGATTCTTTTCATCACTGGACATGCTAGAAGCTGCTTTGCCAGATGCACTAGAAGCTTGTTCTCTGCAATAGAAGTATTTGAGTTCTCGTTATAAGGATCAACAAGAAAAGGGCTCACCAAAAGTTCAGCCCTGAAGGCTTCATGCAGATCGATCATTACAAGAGCACTAATCACCTTCTAGAAACCCCAGGACACTACAATTTTGTTAAGAAGTAGGAGGTGGACACTAGCTGGTTGGGGATTGAGGCATAGTTTGTTTGTTTGTTTGGTCTAAGAAATGAAGAATCTAAAACAAAGAGCTCACAAATGGACTCAACCTGAATCATGATGGCAGTACTCTACTCCCTTTCATTGAGTATTAGGAGGAGATTAGTTTGTGTGTCCCTACTTCATTCCATGAAATTTTACAAGAGGGTGGATACACCAGTAGCAAATTAACTAGTTTTAAATTCACTGCCAAGCTCATACTATATTCTAAAATCTAACACTAATACATTTAACAACATCACGAGAAAATTATTGACCCAAGATAGAATGTCAATATTCCCCTCATGCACATTATACACTTCAGTCCATCTTCCCAAAGGATACTTTTACCCAAGGCAGAACATTACCAAGTCCTGCAAGCGTGAAGTCAATACTCAATAGCAATTACTCTCTCCATTTCAATTCATGTTTTTGACTAGGCACAAAGTTTAAGAAAAGAAACTTTTGAATTTTTGTAGTCTTAAAAAAAAGGAAGTGTAAAGTGCACCAAAATGCCCTTTGAATCTTATGGTCTGAAATACGACAGGCTATTGGTTTCAAGAGCTATTAAATCTAAAAAATGGCATTCAAAGAAAGTAAGACGCATACGTTGAAACATAGGGAGTAGTTTCTACGGACAAATCAATACCTTGCACTTTTATCAGTCCACTCGTCATCAGCATCATCACTTGAGCTTCCACTTTCAAAGAAATCATCATCGCTTAAATCAAGAAGCCCATCGTCTTCGCTCCCTGTTTCTGTTAGGAAAGGCCCAAGTAGAGGATCAGTTCTGATCGATGCAAACAATGTTGCAAATACCAATTTGAAATCAGTAAGTACACAATTGTGAAGAGCAACTGAAGTTCTATCTAATAATCCATCTAGTAAAGCCAACTGAAGGTCACAATGTTGCAGCTTCTGACATTTCTCTGAAGCTAACCAAGATCTTGTTGAAAATTCATCATTCAGAAGCATTCAAATTTGAATACCTATAACAAACTAACACTACATAATCATCAACCAAAGCACACTTTTTCCTATAAAAGTTAAGGCTCTTGCTCACATGTTTGATATAACTGATTGTCTTGCAGATATTACAATGAGAAAACAGATAGACTCATTTAGTTATGACGAGGGTATGAGGATTGATCACTTAGTAGCTAAGATGAGATAAAATCAGCTTAGATGATATTTTCTTATGTAGTATGTTTTAGTTACAGATTTTGACTGTACCAGCTACTGCAATAAGCATCTTTAAAAAGAAGCAAACTCTATGAAAGTCAAAACTAAGGTGAACTACATATTGAACAACAGCTTAGTACCTTCCAAATCTTTCCCACTTGCGGCAGCAGCAACTATATTGGCTTTGATTTGCTCCCGTAATTTACATCTTTTGTCAACAATATCTTGCTCATCACCTCCCGAAAACAAGGATACATATTTCTCATTCTTGGGAAAGAACTGCGACCAAAATAACACTTTGTTATCAGAATGAGAAGACAAAAAATGACCAATTTATGTTTTAACTTAGACTAGCAAAGACGTCATAAGTTCTGTTGCACTATATGAGAAACCATTTATAAGATTTCTGAGTTTTAGCCATTTCAGCAGGTGATCTCTGCATCAACAATTTTTTTATGGAACCCTAGACGACCCCAAATCTAGGCTAACTATTGCATCTTCATAAATATGTGAATGTCATATTCAAGATGATAAGACGATCTAATGCTCGCACTAGCAAAAAACAAATGGCATCAATGACAATATTCATTAGAAAACACTTGACTTTATCCTTCTCATTAAACAATTTTCTTTGCGAAAAATGGACTAAACTCTAAATCTGGGACCAGAAAAAGTAGACAAGCGGCCCCAAGGCCTAGCTCGAGTGGAAACACGTGGAGGATTTGTGGCTTAGGTCACAGGTTCAAGCCCCATACCAAGCAAAGCGAAGCCCAGTACTTGAGTGGAGAAGGGTAGAGGGAAGGCCCATCATCCACAGAGTTTAGAAGGCTATGATTGGTCCAAAGGGCGGGTCATAGGCAAATTTCCTCAGTTATTAAAAAAAAAAAAGTGGACAACTGTTTCGGTGAAAAGATCGATACTGTGAGGAACAGAGTTGAACTCAATCGGATATGGCCATCAAAGAACATAAGAAACAGGTAACCTAATTAGAAGCTCACCCGAACATATTCAAGGTCCTCTTTCAATTTAGCAAGTTGTTCAGCAATTTCTGTTTCTTGGGCCTTACAAGATGAAGTGCGCTGTTGTTTCTCCAAACGTCTTATTCTTCTCTCTATTTTTCTTCTATCTGCCCATTAATTGAAGCTCAATGAATCAATTCTCAACTACAACGTACCGTGTGGAAGTATATCAAATATATAAAGCAGAGAAGAAGTTACTAACCAAAAAATTTAACCTTCCTGTTGCGAAGAAATATTTTGCGTTCTACAGCCAGACGATTCTGAAGCTCTTGCTGCTTTTTGAGTTCCTCCAATTTCTGTTTTTGAACTTCTCTAATCTCAGGAGGCAAATCCTGGAAATATTATCCCGTTACTATGTTTTTCGATAATTGTGCACTCAAATCTTTTACCTCCTCAGGGTTTACAGACCAAAAATGCTACATGAACACGTTAGCTTCCTACATTATCTGTATGTCACTAGATAGAGCTCATAGTTAGAGATGCCAAGCCAAGCATAGAACTTTGCTTTAAATCTATTTCATGCAAAACCACATTCAAGTCTCAACTCAGGATGCTTGTCTAGGAGTCAAAACTCAGATAACAAAATCCACAGGTAAATAGTTACTCCTTTGTCCCTAATTACTTGTCCAATTTTCTTTTTTTACTTGTCCATTTTGACAAATCAAGAAAGGACAAAATTTTGTATCTAATTATCTAACTATTGTCTAAATTGTCTGATCTAATATAATTGCTTGGTCAAAAAAGAAAAAATTTAACAAAAAAACTAGTTTGTTCCTTATTTCTGTAGAAGTCATCGTCGGATATGAACATCAGTTATTGGGTGTGAAACTAGTTATCTGTACACTTGGTAGATTGTTCCAGTAAGCCACGGCCAATAGCTACTCTTTCCCAGAAGATGCTAGGAAAACAATTAAACTGTAAGTTATAGCCAAAAACTAGGCATCCTAATACTCCTATATGTCGAAGTTTCTTCAAATCTATAAGTTCCATTTGTCTCATATTTACAATTTCCATCCTTTTTTATCAACAATTATTTCCAAAACACTTAACACAATAGTTTGTTCACAATTCAAACTAATAAACAAAAAATACTACAGATAAACAACATCAAAGTTGAGCAACGACGACGACTTTAAACAGCCCTCTCATGTGCAACTACTAGTTCAGTTCAGAGACACAAACACCACCCAAGATATATCAATTTTGCAAACAACTCTAATCAAACTTAAATCTACATTGTGCCAGCATCACAAACCATATTTGACAGGGAAAAAAAGGGCATTTTCCATATCATTCTTTTGATAACCTTACCATTCAAAAAAAAGATTACTCTTTTCATAAGTTGTTCCAAGTTTTTCAAAGAAATTAGCATTAACCAAACCCATTCATCACACTCTAGTATAGATACTCCTCTTACAATGCACCATTACTATTATGAAGTCAAAAAAAATTGTTTTCTTCTTCAACTAACTAACATTTTATACAGTTTTTACTCATTTTTACAATATACCATACTGCCTAATGCCAAAGTGAGACCTAAGCTGAGACAGTTGGACCTCCAGTATAACACAACAAATATGAATACGAGTGTATAATCGGAACCCTTCGTCTATATTAATTTCAATAAGAAAAAGAATAAAGGAGAGAGAAAAGGGTATGTACTTTACGGAGCATGCGTTCGACGGAACGAATTTGATTTTTGATTGAAACAGCCTTAGACTTAGACTTCTTCTCAACACCTAATGATTTGGGTCGCCTGTTTCTATTACTATTAGCTTCAGGGACTCTGCGTTTCCCATAACCTCCATGCGCCATTACAGAAGGAGAAAGGAAATACTGAAATGGAGCCAAATTCTAGTGCTGTGAAGCAGACATTGTGCGACTCCAATGGAGTTTTGTCAAGCTAGGTTTTTGCTGACTTGCCTTGGTGGGGGTGGGGTGTTTTTGAGTTGGGGTTGGGGTAGGGGGTGGAGTGGAGTTTTTTTCTCACCACTAGTTATTATTTCTATTAAATATACGAAAAAACGAATGAATTTTTCATTGTAAATAAAATTAGTCTTAAAAAATAGATAAAAGTTTAGGGGAGGATTAAAAGTGCACGCCAAAATTTTTTGTAGACGTCCGTCAAGACCTTGGCTATGCATCCAATTGGCCTTCACGGCCATTTCGGTCCATTTTTAAGGTCAAACGAGCTTCGAAGCGCGCATACCTTCCATTTAAACGATTTTCATGTGTTATAGCAAACCATTATTTGGGTGATCCAGATTTCGACATCAAAAATGCTAAAAAAATTTGTGTACGTCCGTCAAGACCTTGGCTATGCATTTGGTTGGCCCTCACGGTCATTCCGACCCATTTTCAAGGTAAAACGACCCCCAAAGCGTGCGTACCTCCCATTTCAACGATTTTCGTGTGCTATAGCAAATCATTTTTTGGGTGATCTGAATTCCGACGTCAAAAATGGCAAAAAAATTTGTGGACGTCCGTCAAGGCCTTGGCTATGCATCCGGTTGGCCCTCACGACCATTCCGATCCATTTTCAAGGTCAAACGAACCCCTAAGCGCGCATACCCCCCATTTCGACGATTTTCGTGTGCTATAGCAAACCATTTTTTGGATGATCCGAATTCTGACGTCAAAAATTTCAAAAAATTTTGTGGACGTCCGTTAAGACCTTGGCTATGCATCCGGTTGGCCCTCACGGCTATTCCGACACATTTTCAAGGTCAAACGAGCCCCGAAGCTCGCATACCCCCATTTCGACGATTTTTGTGTGCTATAGAAAACCATATTTTGGGTGATCCGGATTCCGACATTAAAAATGCCAAAAATTTTTGTGGACGTCCGTCAAGACCTTGGCTATGCATCTGGTTGGCCCTCGCGGCCATTCTGACCAATTTTCAAAGTCAAACGAGCCCCGAATCACACACACCCCCTCATTTCGACTATTTTCGTGTGCTATAACAAACCATTTTTTGGGTGATCTGGATTCCGACGTTAAAACTGCCAAAATTTTTTGTGGACGTCCTTAAGACCTTGGCTATGATCCAGTTGGTCCTCACGGTCATTCCGACCCATTTTCAAGGTCAAACGAGCCCCAAAGCACGCATACCCCCTATTTCATCGATTTTCGTGTGATATAGCTAACCATTTTTTGGGTGATCCGGATTTCGACGTCAAAAATGCCAAAATTTTGGATGTCCGTCAAGACCTTGGCTATACATCCGGTTTTCCTTCACAAACATTCCGACCCATTTTCAAAGTCAAACGACCCCCGAAGCGCGCATACCCCCCATTTTGACGATTTTAGTGTGCTATAGCAAACCATTTTTTGGGTGATCCAGATTCGACGTAAAATATGTCAAAATTTTTTGTAGACGTCAATCAGGATTTTTGCTATGCACTGGTTGGCAATCACGGTCATTCCGACCCATTTTTAAGGTCAAACGAGCTCCGAAGCGCGCATATCCCCCATTTCGATGATTTTGGTGTGCTATATCAAACCATTTTTTGGATGATCCGGATTCCGAAGTCAAAGATGCCAAAAAAATTTATAGATGTCCGTCAAGACCTTGTCTATGCATCCAGTTGGCCCTCACGGCTATTCCGACCCATTTGCAAGGTCAAACGAGCCCCGAAGACCGCATACAATCCATTTCGACGATTTTGGTGTGCTATACCAAATTAGTTTTTAGGTGATCCGGATTCCGACGTCAAAAATGGAAAAAAAAATTGAACGTCCGTCAAGACCTTGGCGATGCATCCGATTGTCCCTCACGGCAATTTCGACCCATTTTCAAGGTCAAACGAGCCCCGAAGCGCGCATACCCCTCATTTCAACGATTTTCGTGTGCTATATAGCAAACCATTTTTCGGGTGATCCAGATCCCGACATTAAAAATGCCAAAAAAATTTATGAACGTCTTTCAAGACCTTGGCTATGTCTTCGGTTGGCCCTCACGGCTATTCCGACCAATTTTCAAGGTCAAACGAGCCCCGAAGCGCGCATCCCCCCTCCCCCATTTCAACGATTTTCGTGTGCTATAGCAAACCATTTTTTTGGTGATTCGGATTTCGACATCAAAAATGCAAATTTTTTTTGTGGTCGTCCTTCAAGACCTTGACTATGCATCTGATTGACCCTCACGTCCATTCCGACCCATTTTCAAGTTCAAACGAGCCCCGAAGCCCGCATACCATCCATTTCGATGATTTTCGTGTGCTATACCAAACCATTTTTGGGTGATTCGGATTCCGACGTTAAAAATGCCAAACTGGACGTCCGTCAATTCATTGGCTATGCATCTACCCCCTATTTGGACGATTTTCGTGTGATATAGCGAACTATTTTTTGGGTGATCCGGATTCCGACGTTAAAAATGTCAAAAAAATTTGTGGACGTCCGTCAAGACCTTGGTTATGCATTCGGTTGGCCCTCACAGCCATTCCGACCCATTTTAAAGGTTAAACGAGCCTTGAAGCGCGCATACCCTCCATTTTGACGATTTTCGTGTCCTATAACAAATCATTTTTTGGGTAATTCGGATTCCGACATAAAAAATGTCAAACTTTTTTGTGGACGTCCGTCAAGACCTTGGTTATGCATTTGGTTGGCCTTCTCAGCCATTCCGACCCATTTTCAAGGTCAAACGAGTCCCGAAGCGCGCATACCCCCATTTGAATAATTTTCGTGTGTCATATCAAACCATTTTTGGGTGATCCAAATTCAGACGTAAAAAATGCCATATTTTTTTTGGAAGTCCGTCAAGACCTTGGGCTATGCATCGGATTGGCCCTCACGGCCATTCCGACCCATTTTTAAGGTCAAACGAATCTCAAAGCGCGCATACCCCCCATTTCGACGATTTTCGTGTGCTATAGCAAACCATTTTTTGGGTGATCCAAATTCCAACGTCAAAAATTCCAAAATTTTTTGTGGACGTCCTTCAAGACCTTAACTATGCATCCGGTTGGCCCTCACGGCCATTCAAGGTAACGAGCCCTGAAGCGCGCATGCCCCCTATTTCGACGATTTTCGTGTGCTATAGGAAACCATTTTTATGGTTGATCCGGATTTCGACGTTAAAAATGCCAAAAAATTTTATGGACGTCCTTCAAGACCTTGGCTATGCATCCGGTTGTCCCTCACGGTCATTCCGACCCATTTTCAAAATCAAACGAGCCCCGAAGCATGCATACCCACCATTTCGATGATTTTCGTGTGCTATAATAAACCATTTTTTGGGTGATTCAGATTCCGACGTTAAAACTGCCAAAATTTTTTGTGGACGTCCGTCAAGACCTTGTCTATCCGGTTGTCCCTCACGGACATTTCGACCCATTTTCAAGGTGAAACGAGCCCCAAAGCGCGCATACCCCTCATTTCGATGTTTTGCGTGTGCTATAACAAACCATTTCTGGGGTGATCCGGATTTCAATGTCAAAAATGCCAAATTATTTTGTGGACGTCCGTCAAGACCTTAGCTATGCATCCGGATGGCCCTCACGGCCATTCCGACCCATTTTCATGGTCAAACGAGCTCCGAAGCATGCAAACTTCTATTTCGATGATTTTCGTGTGCTATAGCAAACCATTTTTTGGGTGATCCGGATTCCGACGTCAAAAATTCCATAAATTTTTGTGGACATCCGTCAAGACCTTGGCTATGCATATGGTGGTCCTTCACGGCCATTCCGACCCATTTTCAGGGTCAAACAAGCCTCGAAGCACGCATACCCTCCATTTCGACGATTTTCGTATGCTATAGCAAACCATTTTTTGGGTGATCCAGTTTTCGTCGTAAAAAATGTCAATTTTTTGTGGACGTCTGTCAAGACCTTGGCTATGCATCCGGTTGTCCCTCACGTTCATTCCGATCCATTTTCAAGGTCAAACAAGCCCCGAAGCGCGCATACCCCCAATTTTAAATATTGTAAACATAAGGAACTATTACGACTCCACGAGAAAACTCAAAAATGACTTCAAGTCTTTATTCAAAGTCAAGAGATATGGACTTTTTCTCAGTTTTTAGTTGTATATGCACATATATTAGTTTGGTCTATGAACTATTGGTTTAAAACATTTCATTAAATTACCGACTACAAAGATAAATGTGTGGTATATTGTTTCAATTGAATCGACTTATGAACTATATTGGCGTAAGTTATAACTATAGTATCCCAACTGAGGATAAGAAGTCCTATATCGACAAAAAACAAGAGAAATGTTGAGTTTATAAGTAAGCAAATCTTACAAACTCGTAACTTATTGTAATTCCAGGTGAACCGAAAGCTAACATTTATTTATAGTGACCAAGCCGACGGAAGAGGTAGGGATCGAAGAACGAGCCAAGTCGTATAAAGACATGAAGATATAGCCAACAACAAATACCCCATGGACCACAAATGTCATTCTTTTAAAGAATTTTAGCATCATATTTCATGCCTCTAAATAATTGTCTTAAACATGACATCAACCATTAAAATCGTAAAAGATCGAAACGAAATCAGGGAGGTGTGGAAGTTCAATGATTTTGGTGTAGTGGAGTGTTACAACCATAATATTTCATAACGTATCGTAACTTATTATACAATTGGGAAATTTATTTATATTTTGCCACACACAGTACAAGGTATCAAGAATGAATCTTTCTTTGTACACTGAATAAATATAATGTATCATTTGTCTGTATTAAAAACTTGCAAGATTTGGCTTGAACTTAAAACTCTTACCTCTATTTTGAGTTGATGGTTCAACCAACAAATGTTCTCATTTCCCTCTTACCCAGTGATGGAAGGAAAAAAAAAAACGAAAAAAAATAAGAACTCTACTGTTCAATCGACGATTTTTCCTTTGCTTTATTTGTAACTTTGATGTATTTACAGTAACTCGCATCTCCTTGTCATGTTTGCTCCTTGTTCTTTTTCTTCATCAGTTGTAAGA